TCAAATTTGGTTAAAGTGTAAAATACCCTTTTTACCTGGTCAAAAACAGCTCTGTTCATAGAGACTCGTTTCGGTGCATGTCTCTTTAAATGATAATGAGCTACTGCTCACCACCACTCTCTTGTATGGGCCATGTCGACACAAGACACATGAATTGCTGCCTTGGACTCTATATATGGCTTGGAGTTGGTCTTATTCAAATAGCTCGCTATCTATGTAGAAACTGGCTGCAAATTGAAACAGCTCGCTAAATGACTCCGACTCAGACAGCTCATTAAAAACTGGTTGCATATTTCTGAGCTGGCAGACATGCCAGAAACCTAGCTAAATGCAAAACAAGCATTTTTTCATTTACTTGTGTCAACCGGAACCCGGGAATACTTCTCATAACACCCGATGTACTCGCTACATCGTAAGAAGAATGGCATCTACACTAATATTAGTCTCTTCCATTCTAATTCTGAGGTCACTGTAGCCATACGGATCCAGACCAGATCAGCACCTAGAGACGACCTCTATGCAACCCTGAATGTCAGCGGAGACCATGTCAACTAGATGCGCCCCATCCCCTGCGAAGACCTCATCACCTCGACGACCATCGGCACAAGACCACGAGAACCAGACAAGTCCTCTGCACAATCTGACCTGTGTTGCAGCCTAGAATTAAACTACGCCGTGCTGGTTTGGTCTGGTCATAAGAGAACCGGTCCCCCGACTGAGCCTGGTTTCTCCCAAGGTTTTTTCTCCATTTCTGTCACCATTGGAGTTTTCGTTGGGGACGCTTGACTGATTGCACAGACACTATTGGAAGAGAGCTGAACTGGATGATGACGTCACTGAACCATCACTGAACTGACTTTAGCTGGAAAAATGACTTGTTATTATCTTCTTGCATCGACAAACTATTTTCCTGTTTGACACTGTAAAGCTGCTTTGACACAATCAGTATTATATAAAGCGCTATTCAAATAAAGGTGACTTGACTTAAAGCTATTTGTTCTTTAATAATGTTCTCAAAATGTTAGCAACAAAATGTTATTTATACATAGTTTACGGAACTTTTTTTCTGAAATGTTTCAGTTAGATGTTCGTATAACATTTTTTTTAAACGCTGCTAGTTATTTCAGAATGTTCTGAGAACATTCAACAGTAACATTCCAATAATGTTTGCAAAACGATAAAATGGAATGTTCCCTCAATGTTTGTAAAACCAAATAAAAAACTTTTTTTAAATGAATGTTCAAAGATAGTTTTAGTTTTTAAAATTGAGTGTTTTCGTAACTTTTGATGCATACATTGGCAAAACGTTATTAAATCATATTTTTGTTAGTTGGGACTTAACATGACATTTCTGAGATTATAAGATTTTTAACATCTTGACTCTTGATTGTTTGATCTTAGTGTCAAGAAGTTACATTTTTTATGAGAATATTTGATTAAAAATGGTACTTAACCATACTTATTATTAACATCACTTATGTTGAGGTTATGAGACAATTGTGCTGTATTACACAGTGCTTGGAAGATCCAGTAATTTCTAAAGTAAATGCTTCAGAAACAGATTTACTGACTAACATTTCGAGGGTCTTGAGAAGTGCATGCTAAGACGCACTCTTTTTGAAGGTGATGTCATAGGCAGTCTAGCCAAGCAGGAGCTCCGCTATTTGAGCAGAGCATGACTCTAAGCACACACACATTCTCACAGGATTCAGAGCAGAGCCGAGTGTTGGAATCATTCTGTATACGTGCAGCTTCACACGAGCAGGAATTCCCAGCCGTCAGCAGCATATGGAAAAAAAACGACAGAAAGGAACCAAACGCCACATGACAGCCATTAATATCATTCCTTGGACTGAATCGCCCTAAAAAATGAGGTTGGAAAGATTTGGTAGGCTTTGGATAAGTTAGCATGGTTTGGCATAACTAAACAAAGGCCAAAATTCTCACCTGGGAGATGCTCTGAAAGAATAATAACAGGCTTGTTTTATGATTAATAAAAATTATGTGACAAATTTGAGTATCATGCCAACGTTTAAGCATAAACTTGAACTTTCATGTTTTCTCAGTGAATATCTCCTACACTCTAAAAAATGCTGGGTTAAATACGACCCAGTGCTGGGTAAAATAGGGACAAACCCAGCAATTGGGATGTTTTGACCCAGCAGTTGGGTTACTACCCAGAAGGTTGAGTTAAACATTCAACCCAACCGCTGGGTCTAAACAGCCCAATTGCTGGGTTTGTCCCTATTTTACCCAGCACTGGGTCGTATTTAACCCAGCATTTTTTAGAGTGTAATACTCATTTTAGTGTGTGTGTGTGTGTGTGTGCGTGTGCGTGTGTATAGCTTACATTTTTTCTTTCCATTCGTTTTACTAATTTTAATGCTTAGTAGTAACTTATTTCAGTTAGTTTCCAAGCCAACATTTCTATTTTTTAAGTTTAAGTTTCCTATTTTACCCAGCACTGGGTTGTATTTAACCTAGCATTTTTTAGAGTGTAATATCCATATTTAATTTAAGCTTCACTTCAATTAACAAAAAATATGTTTTTTGTATTTATTGACAAAACAACATGAAAATGTAATAAATGTTTTCAAATTAAATTAATATGTTAATTTAATTTAATGATAAAATTTTAGGGAAAAAATAGAAAAAATAGCATAGAGCAGTGGTTTTCAACCTTTTTCACTAAAATGCACCCATTATCCATATCAATACTCAATGTTGTTTTAAAAGTTTTTTTCATATAACATTTATATTTTATTTCAGCTTAATTTCAGTTAACAAAAGCGAATTTTAATAGTTTATATTTAATTAAAAATAAATAAAAACACTGCCTCTCTCTTTCTCTCTCTCTCTCTCTCTCTCTCTCTCTCTCTCGTACCCCCCGCTCTTTTCACAATACCCCTATCAAAAGCTGCTCGTTTTCAAATTAAATTAATATGTTAATTTAATTTAATGATAAAATTTTAGGGAAAAAATAGAAAAAATAGCATAGAGCAGTGGTTTTCAACCTTTTTCACTAAAATGCACCCATTATCCATATCAATACTCAATGTTGCAAAAAATGTAAAAAAAAAAATCATATATATATATATATACTGTATATACCTTAGAATTTCTCAATTTTTACAGCTTAGCATTACTAGAAAAAAATACAGTAGTCTTTATAAAAAATGCCCACAGAGTTATAGAATACTCAATGTTGCAAAAAATGTAAAAAAAAAAAATCATATATATATATATATACTGTATATACCTTAGAATTTCTCAATTTTTACAGCTTAGCATTACTAGAAAAAAATACAGTAGTCTTTATAAAAAATGCCCACAGAGTTATAAGATTTTATTGACTGTCATGACTTTTCCGGGTCTGAGTGAATACTTGGATCTCTATAACTCAAACACTCGGATCATTTGACCACGAACGAATTTGACGAGAAATGAGTTCAGATGGAAACGCTTGACTTTTGACCTTATTGTTTATATCACATATGCAGGAGACTAAAAGGATTAGTTCACCTATACAATCAGCACCCTTGTGTCTTTCCAAACCTGAATGACTTTCTTTCTTCCACGGAACACAAATGAAGAAGTTCTTATTCCCTCTTATCTATACCGTCACAATGAATGAGGACAGAAGCTCTTTAGGACCATAACAGTATTATAAATCCAGTCCACACGACTTGGTCTCTAGCTTTGAACGTCATTCCTTAAGTCTAAAAGCTTCAGTCACCATTTACTGTAACTGCATGGTCAAGAGAGACCACAGACTGAGCGTGTCATCTTTCACAGTCACACTTTCACCTCACAACAAGGCTAAACACGTCACTGTCCTTGTGTTCAAATGGCGAAACCAACTTTCACCACATGTCCGAACAGTGGGATCCCTCTGAAGACTCGCCTTATCAAACAATACTTTGAACATACAACATAGAACAAACCTGTGTTGACTTTATTTGTATTAACTTAATACGTCATACCTCTCTTTTCTTGAAAATAGCTGCATGCTTGCAATTTGAATCACACTTCTTGTTAAAGCTCTGGATTAGAGCATCTCTTAATGTATCTTCATGTACACATAAGAGTCTTGGAGTCTAATCTTTAGAAAGGCTTTAAGACGGCATGAAGTTCAAGTGCAGAATGAGAGCCTTTGATTGATGTTTGGAGCAGCCCAGAGACGCAGATAGTATTGTGTGCAATTCTTGAAGAGCCAGAACCACCCTTGAACATTTACAGACTCTGTGCACAGACACTTATATACTATTATAGAATTAATTCATGTTTTAAAATAGCTTTATTTTCATATTTTCATTTTTGTTATGTGCTTTGGTCATTTTTATAAGGTATCTCTTTTTTTTTAAGGAAATATTTATTTAGCTTAATTTTAATTTTGTACTTTAATTTTTAATTTGCACTTTAATTTGCACTTATTTTTAGTTGCCAAGAAATTTTTTTAAAGTTTTTTTCATATAACATTTATATTTTATTTCAGCTTAATTTCAGTTAACAAAAGCGAATTTTAATAGTTTATATTTAATTAAAAATAAATAAAAACACTGCCTCTCTCTCTCTCTCTCTCTCTCTCTCTCTCTCTCTCTCTCATCCAACCAGCTCTTTACAAAATCCCCCTATAAGAACATGCTCTACTTCTGAGGTTTTTTGGGCAGGACATTGGTAGGGACACCTCCATTTGCATCAAGGTAAATGATATTTAATAACTTACGGATAAGCATATCTATGTAGTAACTAAAGAGTTATCCTAGTTAGCCTATATGTGTTGTAGAGACTTTAGGTACATTGTTCACGTACACAAGTTATCAGCTTGCCTTCACTGCAGTCTCTCCAGTTAATTCACAAGAATTAACTTTTAAATAACCAAAAATATTTGAATTCTGAATGCTGCGTCTGTCCAATCAGAAGCGAGGATCCTAGTAGGCCTAATCGCAGGACTTTTATTTTGGCGTAACATCCGAACTTTTAACTTGTAGTGACGCAGAGCGGAAACGGAGAACTTGTTGTGTTTGTTTAGGTGCACGCATTCTGCAGCTCATCGGTGGGGCAAGACGACTCGTCGTTTGTGAATCATGGAATCGACGAGAGGTAATATTTACGATTGGGTTCTTTGTTTTCCACCTTTTCTCTTCGTACGTCATGTTTGTTGTGAGTAAGTTGAATATTGAATATATGTTTTTAAATGGACACAAAGGCCAGTCAGTGCTGCAGTCAACACTCGCATTTAACGTTTAGTATGTGTGTTTTATGCGATTTAAATGGCTTATTCGCTGTCTAATGTGTCTTTTATATAGGAAGGGCCAAACGCAGGCACTTGGGGCCCTCAGAATGTAGTGATCTGCTGCAAAGCAACCCAGGGGACCAGTCTCTCACACAGCCTTTTAATGCTAACCTCAGCAACGCGGATCCAAACCGAGCACTTCAGCCCAGGACACCCACCAAAAGAAGTAGACAAGGTGTTGTTTTATTTGTCAGTGCGTTTTGCAGCTTTCTGCACAATACAGCTCTCACTTTGCACTTTGACACCTTTTAATTTCGCTGTTAAGCTTCAGGTGGTGTGGGACAACAGAAAGGCATCACCGATTTCTTCTCTGTCTCTGGAGTCATAAGCACCAGCCCCCAAAAAGGAACCAAAACTCCAGTGAAGGAGGAGAACGAAGAACAGGAACCGATCGGGCATCTGATCCCAAAAGAAGAAAATCTAGAAGAGGATAAGATGGAGGACTATATGGAAGGAATCACTGAGGATATGTTCGACGAAGACTTTGAGGTAGGAACTACGTCTGTTAAAAAAGAAGAAGAATTGTTGGATGTTACGGTGAGAAAAGAGGAGGATCTGGTCGAAGCCCTCCTTGATGCCCACTACGGGCTCCTGGGAGTGCAGGAAGGCCAGGAGGTGCCCAAGGGCCATGTCCAGGATCTGCCTGAGGAGGTCCTGAGGGAAGTGTTCGCACACCTTCCAGCAGATGATCTCTATCGAAACATCAGTCTGGTGTGCCATCACTGGAGGGCCGTCGTCATGGACCCCCAGGTGTGATGTTGATGCCTTTCAAACATTACAGTGAGATGATTGTGAGTTAAAAATAGCATTGCATTGTGTGTAAACTTGGTGTAGGTATTACTTAAAGGGGATTTATTTAGATGTGTTGGTGTGGCAGTATTTTATGACATCTCATGGTTTCTTCCCTAGTTTCTACCTTGGAAGAGGTTGTACTGCAGATACCGTAAGCGGCAAAATGAGGCACTGAAGGAGGTGAAGTCTATCCTGGATGATAATCAAATTAACAAAAAGGATGACCTGTGTCTTCTCAATATGGTGAGGTAAGAATACAAAATGCTCACTGAATTTATTATTTGCGCCTTTGAAGCACAACAAAAAGTGATTCCCAACCGCCACTTTCACACCTATGGGTCATTTTGAAGTCTACATCAGAGCTGCTGATAGAGGTCAAACTTATTAGGTGACA